CCTCCAATGTCTTCAGACCACATTACTCAGGGTAAAAGCCAAAGTCTGTAAGGCCCTCCTGGTGTGGCCTCCAGCCTGGGCTCTGCCACAAAGAAGTCTCATGTTCTTGAGAGCTGCCTACACGCTTTGCACTTGCTGTTCCCTCTGCCTAAAACAGTCTTCCCCTAGATATCCACACAGATTTCATCCCTTCCTTCAGGCCTTTGCGCAAATGTTACCCCTCTCATCCCCACCCCATCATTTACTATCCTTTCTTTTTTAAGAAAAATTTTTTTGCTAAGATTTGGGGGGGGGGGCTATAAAGCCCTTATGTACAGCCATTAAAAAAATGTTTGCTAAAGAAAAGATGCAGAAAAAGAATAACTTGCTTCATATGTCCCAAAAAGAGAGAAAAAAAGGGGGGCGGGGGAGACAAGGGCAACATGCTCAACAATAAAGAGAGATAAGATATTGAGTGTTAGAGTTTGGGTTAGTGAAGCAGGCTGTGAAAGATTTCACTACTAGAAGAAGAGACGCAAAGAGAAAGTTTATTTTACTTTCCCTGAGAAGGGAAAGGGCCGATGGATTGCAGATCAATATAAGGGCCTACCATCCTCCTTTCTTGCTTATTGCCAAGTCATAGCATTTATCATCAGCTATTTGTTTCTTCCCTCTATCCAACATTATATAATATAATTTCCACAGGAACTTTTCCTGTCTTACTTATTACTGTACAGGGTGAGGCAAAAGTAAGTTTACAGTTCATGTGGAAAATAATATAATAATTAATACAGGAATAAACTCTGTTTCATATACTCACAACTGTAAACCTACTTTTGCCCCACCCTGTATATCCAACATCTAGAATAGTGCCTGGTATATAGTAGGTAGACAATAAATCATTGTTGAATCAAGATTCTTGTTGTTTTGGACATGATGTATTATTATTATTATTATTATTATTATTATTATTATTGTGTGTTTATTTTTGTTTAAAATATTACAGATGTCCCTCTTTCTCCCCAATGACCCACTCCACCCCATCCCACCCCCCTCCCCAGTCCCTCTCCCCACCATTGTCCGTGTCTTTGGGTTGTGCTTATATATGTATGAATTCTTTGGTTAATCTCTCCCCCTCCACCCACCCACCCTCCTCCATCCCTCTGACATTCATCAGTCTCATCTATACTTCCATGTCATTGAATCTATTCTGTTCATCAGTTTATTAAGTTCTTTAGATTCCACATATAAGCAAGATCATGTGAT